CCACTCTTTCAATACCTTATCGTTTCTCATGGGTTTCCGCCCACTCTTTGCGCGACCCTTTGGCGACGCTTTTGTCTGTTTGTTGTAATCGCTGCCACTATTGGCCGAAGAGTTGTTGCGGTCGACGTATGCATTCCATTGAGACTCCGATCGTGAAGAGCTGTCGTCATTGGACTCATAGTCTGATCCCATGTCCAGATCACTAGCATTACTGTTGCTGTTATTACTGCTGGTGTTTAAGTCATTGTTTAGGTTATAGTTTGAATGAATGGACGCATAATTGGCCGGAATGTTGACCAAAGGCGGCACAAAGCGGGCCTCTTGTGGATGAGGTCGTGACTGCGGAGGAATAATCTCCATAAAGGACTCCTCGATGTTCTTGAGTGTGGTTGGCGTCAAAGTGGCCGTCGTTTGGGTCAGACCTCCGATGTTCGCAAACTATTGGACACAAAAGTGATAGATGTTTATGATATTGATATCAAGTATATGTTGACAACTTTGCTCTGAAAAGTGACTCTCGTGTCACTGAAACCTAATTTAAAGCTAAGATTTATGACTAAAATATTATCATTTGTCGCAAACGAGGAAAAAGTGTTTGAGTTGTTTGGCGACCAAAACAGTGTTCACTGTATGAGTGAAACGGATTCCTAACGTATCCTAAGATGTGATGAATATTTGCAACAAATACTCAAAACTTGTAAAAATATCATTCATTTGAATGAATGGCAAAGCAATAGATAAGCGAAAGTTTTCACACATAGACTAAACACATAGATATGGTCTCAAAGTTGTGCTATCGTTTCGATAGAGATATGGCATAAGTATTGCACATAATGTTCACAAATGAATGCATTGTTTGCATTGGCTTTCAATGAAAGCAAACATGACTTACGCTTTCGTTGGTTGTTGTGGTCGAAGGCATTGAATAACTATTTGTTGTGATATGAGTATCAATACTATTGCCAACAATATTACGATTATTATTAGTATCAGTATTACTATTACTTGTAATCACTTGTGGTTTAGACGCATACGAATCCATTCAATGTCTAATACATTGGATAGAAATGTGTGAACACATACAATACTATAAATGGTGCAGGCTAATTGCTCATTGATTGGTGAATTAAGTGAAAAATATGAAAAATATTCACACTTTAATGACAATTATTGGTATAAAACATATAAAAGTGTTGAGTATTGGACTCAATGAAAGCTCTGAATGTATTACTCATTGAATGACTCATTGCTAGAAATGGTGTCAAAAGTGAAGGAAAAGCCCCACAAAAGGCATGACATCATTGTATTGCAAGAGTGGGCGGCAGTCGTCCCATACTAGCGCTCCCATTGGCTGCCAGTAGAGCAGCCGTTCATAACAACTGTGATATCATAAGACTTTTTCATATTGAAGTCATTTCCGTTGATTTTGCACTCGTTTTTAGTTGTAGTTTAGATTAGGTTTCAATTTATCATTCATTCAATTGCTTTACGAATAAATATTCACTGAATTTCATTGAATGAAATTCTTTGTGTTATCCAATACTAAACAATCAGTTACTGTTTTTAATCAATTTTATATATAATAATTTAGCTAACTATTTTTATAAGTATAGTGTTTCAGATAAAGTTTTTGTATTAATTTTCTTTACTTGTAATTATTATAATATCATAATATGACATATCATGTTTGTTAATATTACATAAATATTATTCCGAAGTATCATATACTAAACATTTGGACAATTTGATGACATGTTTATGAAATATTTATGTATTTGAAATAAATACTGTATTGAAAATGAGAAATATTACCATAATATGATATTATGATATAGTGCATAGGAATTAGCCATACATGAAAATACAGAATTGCTATTATATTATTACAGTGCTATATTACTATTATAAATCAATAACATTATAAATTTGCAATTATATAAGACTTGTAATCTATAAGTTATAACCACTATAAAATAAATGTTAAGTGGGATTAATAGAGAATATGAGCCAGTACATTAATATAAATATAGCTAACTTATCATTGATAAGACTCACAA